GAGCACCAGTAGCTCCCGTACCTCCAGCACGAGCAGCTCCTCCAGTACCCCCAGCAACACCTCCAGCACCAGTAGCACCAGCACCTCCAGCACCACGAGCTCCGACAGCGCCAGCACCTCGAGCACCGGTAGTACCTCCAGCACCTCCAGTGCCTCCAGCTTCAGCTCCAACGCCTCCAGCTCCAGTAGTACCTCCAGTACCTCCTGTGCCAGCAGCTCCAGTAGCAACTCCAGCACCTCCAGCACCAGCAGCACCACCTGCTCCGGCAGCTCCAGCACCTCCAGTACGAGCACCTCCGGGGCCAGTAGCTCCAGCACCTCCAGTACCTCCAGCACCAGCACCTCCATGGTCAGCAGCTCCCGCACCCCCAGCACCTCCAGTAACAGGAGTACCTCCAGCACCAGCTGCTCCAGTACCTCCAGCTCCAGGACCTCCAGCACCGGCAGCACCTCCAGTAGTAGCACCTCCAGCACCTCCAGCACCAGCAGCAGCTCCAGTACCCCCAGCACCAGCAGCACCTCTAGCTCCAGCAGTACCTCTAGTACCTCCAGTAGTACCTCCAGCACCTCCAGCACCAGCAGCACCTCCTGGACTAGTAGCTCCAGCACCACCCGGACCGTACCCTCCACCACCAGGACTGCCTCGTCCTTCGACCCACGCACGAATCGCCTGCGGCGAGAGCGTCTCAAGTAGAGCAGGGTGCGGTGGCTGTCCAGCTCCAGTACCTCCAGTAGTGGTAGCTCTAGCACCTCCAGCACCAGAAGCACCTCTGGTACCTCCAGCTCCAGCACCTCCAGCACCAGCAGCAGCTCCAGTACCTCCAGTAGTACCTCCAGGCCTAGTAGCTCCAGTACCTCCAGCTCCAGGACCTCCAGAAGGACTCGCAGCACCCCCAGAGTCAGCACCCGAAGTCTCAGCACCCCCAGAGTCAGCACCCAAAGTCTCAGTACCCCCAGGCTCAGTACCCTCAGGCTCAGTACCCTCAGTCCCAGCACCCGCAGGCTCAGTACTTTCAGTCCCAGCACCCGCAGGCTCAGTACACCCAGTCCCAGCACCCGCAGGCTCAGTACCCTCAGTCCCAGCACCCGCAGGCTCAGGACCCTCAGTCTCAGCTCCAGTGTCCACTGCAGAAGGCTACAGAGGCGGGAAACCGGGGGGGGTAGCCAAACGAGGAGAGCAGTCACCCCCAGACGTACCACTCCCAGGCCCAGCTCCAGCAGCCTCAGCTCCTGAGTCCACAGAAGCAGGCTGCGGAGGTGGCGAAGACGGCCGAGGCGGGAAACCCGGGGGGGTCTCCAAGCGAGGAGTGCGGCGAGTGGTCGACGTGTCGTCGGCGGCGGTGTCAGAGGAGTCAGAAGAGATCTCCACTGGCTCATCTAAGTGGGGTGGGTCTACCTAAGACACACCTGAGGGAGCAGGACCCTGTGGGGGAAGGGGGTCTACCGGGGGGGGGACTGGTACCAGGAAGAGAGGCGCGAGGGGAACCGGGTGGGACGCGTGTGGGTGAAGTCGGTAGTAACAGACCGAGTCGTCGAAGGTGACGTCCTGAGATGACAGAACACGACGCGAGGCAGGGTGGTAGAACTGCCAGGGTGGAGCGTCGGTGGGGAAGCCCAGGAAGACACATCGGAGAGTGCGAGGAGAGAGCTTGCTCGCTTTGGTATCGCGAACAAGGGAGAGCGCGCCCCAGACCCGAAACGACGACGCATCACTAGGCTGTCCCATCCAACGGAGTGTGGGCGAGGTCTCTGGAGCAGAGACACGGGGCCAGAGGTTGAGCTGATGCGTATCGGACCGCAAACGACCACAGGAAATGGGGAGCAGCCGCATGGATCATGGAGGTACGAGCAACCTCCATGATCAGGCCAATGCGACGCTCAGCGATCCCATTTTGCTGCGGAGAGGCCGGAAGCGTGAACGACTGGGCGATGCCCTCATCCTGGCAGAACGTCTCAAGGACGCCAGAGGAGAACTCACCACCCCTGTCAGAGTGCAGACGCAGGACTGGGAAGTCCTGCTGAAAGCGCTCGTGCAGCTGGAGACGAGTAGCACGGATGCAGGGGATCAAAACACCGCTGACGTCCGCCTTGCGACGCAAGGGGAAGACTGTGGTGTAGCGTGTATAGTCGTCAACAACCAGCAGGAAGTAGCGCTCCAGGTCCGTCCCACCGACGGGGGCCAGGCCCCACACGTCCAGGTGGAGAGTCTGCAGAGGAGCAGTGGTCGGAGGAAACTCGGAGGAGTGAGGAGCGGCGCGCTGCTGCCCCTCGACGCAAGGAAGGCACGGCTGGGCAAGCGAGCGTGGCAGGGGGGGCAGAGTCCTGGGGAGGCCAGAGACAAGGAGACGGGAGTGCTTACTGCGTAGACGCTGCAGGGAGGGGTGACCAAGATGGTGGTGCCAGCGCTGAGTCTCGTGCGTGAGTACTCTGCACGAGCAAGACGCAGCTAACTGTCCCGACGCAGACGCCCGACTCGACGCAGCCACCTGACCTGACTCAGCCACCTGTGCAGACGCAGTGGTCAGTGTGTACAGACTAGACCCAGGCTGTCGAGTGAACGTAGCCAGGTGACGGCCAGTCCGGGAGCACGTACAGATCGCCACACGCTGCCCTCCAGGAATAAAGGTATCAACCCAGACATCCTGAATGGCAGCGTTGCTCACCAAGTTCGTCGAGAACGTGGGGAGGTGGAGACCTGACAGAGAGCCGGAGGGGACTGCTGGACAAGGGAGGACCGTGGAGGCTCTCGCAACTACAGGGCCCCCAGAGGGGTCAGCCAGTGAGACTGGGACAGGTGCTGCGAGTGGTGTGACTGTGGTGCAATCACGAAAGAAGCAACGTGACGCACCTGAGTCAAGCGTGAAAGTGTGCAAGACCTCAGCTGAGGCAGGACCTGTGGCAGTAGACGCACTAGCACCTAGAGCGTCGGCAGACTCACGGGCACCTAGAGCTGCAGCAGACTCACCAGCACCTGGAGCAGCAGCAGACTCACTAGAACCGAGAGCAGGAACCTCTACACTGCCAGGGACGCATCGCTGAGACGCACAGTCGCGACGTCGCTTAGGCCATGTATAACCAAAACCTCCACCACCAGGACCAGCTCGCTGAACAACCCACTCACGAAGCTGCTGAGGGGTGGGGTCGTCCGGAAGAGGCAGTGCCCGCTGCTGTCCACCCCTGGTCGCAGCAACTGCCGCGATAGTGGCCATGTCAGACAGCGACGGTCAGGAGTAGGTCCAGCACCTCCAGCTCCTCCAGCACCAGCATCACCTCCAACACTCCCAGGAGCACCTCCACCAGCAGCAGCAGTAGCACGAGAAGCAGCAGCAGTAGTAGTATATATATATATATATATATATATTATTTTTTTAGGGTTTAGGGTTGCGCGCGGTCCACGGGCTGCAGGGGCGACGCGCGGCTCGGCAGGGCGGCGCGCGGGCTGTAGGGGCGGCGCGCAGCTCGGCAGGGCGGCGCCCAGGCTGCAGGGGCCGACGCTCGGCTCGGCAGGGCGGCGCGCGGGCTGCAGGGGCAGCGCCCACGGGCTGCAGGGGCGACGTGCGGCTCCGCAGGGCGGCGTACGGGCTGCAGGGGCGACGCGCGGCTCTGCAGGGCGGCGTACGGGCTGCAAGGGCAGCGCCCACGGGCTGCAGGGGCAACGCGCGGCTCGGCAGGGCGACGTACGGGCTGCAGGGGCAGCGCCCACGGGCTGTAGGGGCAACGCGCGGCTCGGCAGGGCGGCGCGCAGGCTGCAGGGGCAGCTCCCACGGGCTGCAGGGGCGACGCGCGGTTCGGCAGGGCGGCGCGCGGGCTGCACAGGCAGCGCCCACGGGCTGCAGGGGCGAACGCGCGGGCTGCAGGGGCAGCACGCGGGCCACAGGGGCACGCACGGCTGCAGGGGCAGCACGGTCGCAGGGGCAGGCACGGCTGCAGGGGCAGCACGGTCGCAGAGGCAGGCACGGCTGCAGGGGCAGCACGGTCGCAGGGGCGAGTACGGCTGCAGGGGCAGCACGGTCGCAGGGGCGAGCACGGCTGCAGGGGCAGCGCGGTCGCAGGGGCAGCACGCGGGCTGCAAGGGCAGCGCGGCTGCAGAGGCAACGTAGGAAGAAAAAAAAATTACGGTTAGGGCAGGGCGGAACGTTCGGTGGGCCCTAGGAACGATTCTGTTCTAATACCATGTTAGAATAAGCAGGAATGAATGAGTGAACTAGGCAAGAGGTGAGTACAAGTAGGGGAAACCTAACCCTAAAGTGTTGTACTCACTAAGGAGTGACCATACTATAGCCTAGAGATAACAATTGTAATTTGGCAGTTTTCCCGTTCTCTCTAAAGCGTTCGGCTGGTAAACGGGAGCTCCAATGCGGAAAATAAAAATATTCTCTACAATATATGATTGATGCCATGTAGTATTTGAGGTTCATCACGTATATAGACGCCAATTGATATATATGAACGCCAATTGATAATTTATATGTGTAATTGGCCATTTTATATCAACACTTTAGCGGAAATTATACTTGTAGATGCGTTTTCCGGCCCAGCAGGTTGATTGTGAAGTGGGGTTCTGATAAATACCAAAATGAGATTTTCACCATCATGTACCACGCGTGTATCATTTTTACGTGTAAGGAACCATCTGTACCTTTTCCGCTCGTACCGTATATCGAGACCTGTCTGTGGCTGAGCGCGAAAACTGCTTGTCAAAGGCGGGAAGCGATTCGGTATGGATGTGTCTGCGGTTGACGGTCACGATCGCATCGTTCAGCTGTCACCTTTCCATTCCATTCTTCCCCACAATTTGTAGGCACTTCACCTAAAGCAACTCCGCTTGTGTTTGTTGTGGGGGGCGTGTTGGCAACTTCACACATGTTCTTGCTTTCTTCACGTCTGCTGTTCTGGTTTAGGGCGTGTAGGCCCTCTCGCCAAGCCAGCGTCTCTGCCGCATCAGCCCAGGAACGTCTGATTATAACTTTTCCTTTGCATTCCGACGGCCCGTTTACAGAATGGCCAGCCGTCCGCCGGCCTCTTCGCCCGGCTGCTTTCCTCTCGAGGCGGTTCCGCTTTGCTTCGTGCCTTCCGGGTGCGTCGCAGGCGACGCGTACGCGCGACTCGAAGATGAATTGCGAGAAGAACGAATGGCAGAAGCCGAACAGAGCGGCGGCTCGGTGGAAAACCGTCAGGAAGGACACGTCACGTCGACCGGAGGAGGAGAGATGGCGGATTTTGCTACCCCGACTGTCGAAGCGCGCCGATGCGACGACGGTCGGGAAGCAGGAACGGGAATACAGCGCGCCGATTCCGTCACCGGCTCCGGCGCGCAAAAAGGGGAGAAAGTCGAAGGAGAGGGGCGCAGAGGCGGAAACGGGAGAAATGCGGAAGGGGGCGGCGGAAGAAGCGGGGACGGCGATGGTTCCGCCGTGCGGAAGCCCACGTGGCAGGAGCGGAGTGGCCTGCGGCAGCGAAAGCAGTCCAAGGGGCCCTCGAAGCGCGTGCTGAAGCGAGTTGATGCCCCTGACGTAAGAGGCGCCGGGGGGGAAGGGTGGACGGGGAGGGGGGGGGTGGGGGGGGGGGGGGGGGGGGAGATTCAAGGGCAGTCGGCGGGAAGAACGGGGGCAAAGGACAAGGGGATAGAGTTGGGGGACGCAAGGGCCACTGGAAGGGGAAGGGCGCGGGTAGTACGGGAGTGTAGCGGGGGAAGGGCGCAAGTTGTTTGTAGCACGGCGCAATGGTTCCAGCAGGGGAAGGGACGGGGGAGGGGCGCGGAGGGGGAACTGCTGCTGGCGCATGGTGCTTGCATCACGCTCTTCAAGCCATTCCCATTCCTCTTTGCGCCCTCCTGCTCTCTCCTCTCCCACTCACCGCACATGACTTCCTTGACTGCCCGCCACCTTTATTCCTATCCCCCCTTCCGCTTCCCGCTTCTACCCTCCCCCTCTCCGCTCCCCCGCGTTTCCACTCCCCCTCCTCCCGCTGCAGGGCGTGTTGGCGACGTACGACGACGCGTTTCTCTTCGGCCGCATCCCCCTGCCCATGCGCCCGCGCGCCATTCCCCACTCCCCCATCTCCGCCTCTACCACCCTTTTCCCCCCCTCCCCCACTGCAGGGCGTGTTGGCGACGTACGACGACGCGTTTCTCTTCGGGCGCATTCCCCTGCCCATGCGTCTCTGCGCCATTCCCCACTCCCCCAAATCCTCCCCCCCCCCTTCTTCCCTCTCCCCCCCCCACTGCAGGGTGTGTTGGCGACGTACGACGACGCATTTCTGTTCGGGCGCATCCCCCTACCCATGCGCCTGCGCGCCATTCCCCACTCCCCCAAATCCTCCCCCCCCCCTTCTTCCCTCTCCCCCCCCCACTGCAGGGTGTGTTGGCGACGTACGACGACGCATTTCTGTTCGGGCGCATCCCCCTACCCATGCGCCTGCGCGCCATGCTCTCCAAAGGACCCCTCGCGCGCCTCTTCCAAATCGTACCGCCCCATCCTGCCCTCCTTCTGCCATCCTTCTGCCGTTCTTCTTCCAACCTCCTGCCCTGCTGCCATCTCCACGCCATGGCTGCTTCTCCCTTTTTGCTTCACTGCACCCGCGTGCGAGATAGCCTCACACCTACTCCCTCATCCCCTTTCCCCTCACATTGCACCTCCCCCTCACATTGCACCTCCCCCTCACATTGCACCTCCCCCTCACATTGCACCTCCCCCTCACATTGCACCTCCCCCTCACATTGCACCTCCCCCTCACATTGCACCTCCCCCTCACATTGCACCTCCCCCTCACATTGCACCTCCCCCTCACATTGCACCTCCCCCTCACATTGCACCTCCCCCTCACATTGCACCTCCCCCTCACATTGCACCTCCCCCTCACATTGCACCTCCCCCTCACATTGCACCTCCCCCTCACATTGCACCTCCCCCTCACATTGCACCTCCCCCTCACATTGCACCTCCCCCTCACATTGCACCTCCCCCTCACATTGCACCTCCCCCTCACATTGCACCTCCCCCTCACATTGCACCTCCCCCTCACATTGCACCTCCCCCTCACATTGCACCTCCCCCTCACATTGCACCTCCCCCTCACATTGCACCTCCCCCTCACATTGCACCTCCCCCTCACATTGCACCTCCCCCTCACATTGCACCTCCCCCTCACATTGCACCTCCCCCTCACATTGCACCTCCCCCTCACATTGCACCTCCCCCTCACATTGCACCTCCCCCTCACATTGCACCTCCCCCTCACATTGCACCTCCCCCTCACATTGCACCTCCCCCTCACATTGCACCTCCCCCTCACATTGCACCTCCCCCTCACATTGCACCTCCCCCTCACATTGCACCTCCCTCATGCCCCTCTTCCCACCCTCTGCTCCTCGCTCCGCTCCTCTTCTGCCTCCCCCACACAGCTGGACGTGGTGGCAACGCTAGGGTCTGTCACGCTCTATGTGTGGCAAACGTGAGTGCACTCTTCCAGTCAAGCGTAAGCAATGTGTAGCGTACGCCACAGCTCGCCGTCATGGCTACACTAGGGTCTCTGCGGCGGACCCTAGTCTGTCTTGTCTTCTCTGCGTCTCTCCCACACAGCTCGACGTCGTGGCAATGCTAGGGTCTGTCACGCTTTACATCTGGCAAACGAGAGTGCGTCTCCCTCCAACGAAGGGACGCAATTTGTAACGCACATCCCCGTCATTCTATCATAACACCCTCCACACTCCATCCACGCTCTCCTCACGTCCTTCCATCCCAATGCAACCTCCCTGTTCCTCATCTACAAAGTGTACCCCTCTCCTTTCTCTGCTCCTTCTGAGGCACCCTCCGGACACTCCCTGCCCCTCTCCCTGCCCCTCTCCCTGCCCCCCTCCCTGCCCCCTCAACGAGTGCAGGTACCATCCGGACATGAGCCTGGAGTGGATGGTCACCTTGCAGACGGTTTTCAGCTCCTTCTTTCTCGTCGACTACATCATCAACCTCTTCAGGTGCCCGCACCACCTCGCACATAGCACCTCGCACATAGCACCTCGCGCGTAGCACCTCGCACATAGCACCTCGCACACCATATTCCACAGCACCTTCCACATCACACCACTGCAGACGGTCTTCAGCTCCTTCGCCCTCATTGACTACATCATCAACCTCTTCAGGTGCTCTCCCATACCACCCCCGTACCACCCCCGTACCACCCCCGTACCTCCCCCATACCACCCCCGTACCACCCCCGTACCACCCCCGTACCACCCCCGTACCACCCCCGTACCACCCCCGTACCACCCCCGCGCCGACTCATGGCTGCTCTATGTGCTGTCATGGCAGGGCTTTTGAGAGTTCTCAACAGTGCTTCCCGCTTCCCCCCCTTTCCTCCGCCTCCCCCTTCCCCTCCGCCTCTTCCCCCCCGTCCCCCCTCTCAGCGCATACTCATGGTTTCAGTACATGGTGTCATGGCAGGGCATTCTCGACTTCATCTCGCTGCTGCCTCTCCTCCTCATCCGCTTGTAAGTCGCTCCTCTCTGCCTCTAACTGCTGCCGTGCTCCTCGTGTTCCTCATCCTTCCATCCTTCCATCCTTCCATCCATCCATCCATCCATCCATCCATCCATCCATCCATCCATCCATCCATCCATCCATCCATCCATCCATCCATCCATCCATCCATCCATCCATCCATCCATCCATCCATCCATCCATCCATCCATCCATCCATCCATCCATCCATCCATCCATCCATCCATCCATCCATCCATCCATCCATCCATCCATCCATCCATCCGCATCGCACCTTCCACAACCCCTCTCCTCCCCCCCACATCTCTCACTCTTACGTTTACACACGTCCTTACCCCAATGCCATCCCATGCCACGCCATGCCACACCACATTACACCACACCACGCCACGCCACGCCACACCATGCCACGCCACGCCCTGCCCGGCCACGCCACACCAGGAATAAGCATGCGGGCACCAGCAGCGGTGTGCGACTGCCGCAGCTCCTCACCTTCCTCCGCGTCATCCGGTCAGCCCCTCCCCTCGCCTTCTCCTCAACCTTCCCGCCCTCCCCTTGCGCTCTCCTTGCCCTCCCCATGTCCTCTCTGTTCCCCTTCATCGCCCTTGTGTTATTCTTCATCCAGCCTGCCTGCTCACAATACGGCGCCAACTGCTCTCCCCCTGTCCGCTGCTCCTCTGTCCACCCCTCCCCCCTCCACCCCTCACCCCTCCATCCCTCCCCCTCCATCTCTCCCATCCTTAACTCCTCCACTTCTCCCCCACCACGTGGCAGCACCATATCGATAGTGAAGGCGGCTCTCACCATGCGCAATGCCATCCTTAAAGAAATGATAGCCCTTGGATTCACCATCTTCACCGTCTGTAAGCAATCTTGACCGTCTGTAGGACCTACACCAGAAACCCAAAACCCGGGCATCTGGAGTGTCTCTGAGCCAACTACGAATCATCTGTGGACATTTCCTTTGGCTTTGAGACCTCTCAAAAGGACATTTTCTTTGGCTTTTGAGACGTCTCAAAATGACATTTTCTTTGGCTTTTGAGACCTCTCAAAAGGACTCTTTCTTTGGCTTTTGAGACGTCTCAAAAGGACATTTTCTTTGGCTTTTGAGACCTCCCAAAAGGACATTTTCTTTGGCTTTTGAGACCTCCCAAAAGGACATTTTCTTTGGCTTTTGAGACCTCCCAAAAGGACATTTTCTTTGGCTTTTGAGACCTCTCAAAAGGACATTTTCTTTGGCTTTTGAGACCTCTCAAAAGGACATTTTCTTTGGCTTTTTCGAACCCTAACCCATCTATTACCTCTTCAGGCCTGCTCCCTTTTTGCTCTTCCTCCTCTCCGTCTTCTCTGCCTCTTCTCTTCACTGCGTCAGTGCTGGTGGGGGCGGGCATATTCCAGTACGTTGGGACACCAGCGAGACATACAAGGCAGGGCACGAATTCTCACTCCCACCTCTCTCTCCCTCTCCTCTCTCCCTCCTCTCCCTCCCACCATTGCGTCAGTGCTGGTGGGGGCGGGCATATTCCAGTATGTGGAATATTGGGACACCAGCGAGGCATACAAGACAGAGAACGACTGCCCTGCCAGCGGCTGCACCAACTTCTTTGATTCTTTCTACTTCATGGTTGTCACGGTGAGTGCTGTGTGTCATGAGCCCAACTGTGCATGGTGGTCACGGTGAGTCTCGTGCCTTGTGAAAGGTGACTTTAGAGTCGACTCAGAGCTGCCCTGCCAGCGGCTGCACCAACTTCTTTGATTCCTTCTACTCCATGGTTGTCACGGTGAGTGCCGTGTGTCGTGAGCCCAACTGTGCATGGTGGTCACGGTGAGTCTCGTGCCTTGTGAAAGGTGACTTTAGAGTCGACTCAGAGCTGCCCTGCCAGCGGCTGCACCAACTTCTTTGATTCCTTCTACTTCATGGTTGTCACGGTGAGTGCCGTGTGTCGTGAGCCCAACTGTGCATGGTGGTCACGGTGAGTCTCGTGCCTTGTGAAAGGTGACTTTAGAGTCGACTCAGAGCTGCCCTGCCAGCGGCTGCACCAACTTCTTTGATTCCTTCTACTTCATGGTTGTCACGGTGAGTGCCGTGTGTCGTGAGCCCAACTGTGCATGGTGGTCACGGTGAGTCTCGTGCCTTGTGAAAGGTGACTTTAGAGTCGACTCAGAGCTGCCCTGCCAGCGGCTGCACCAACTTCTTTGATTCCTTCTACTTCATGGTTGTCACGGTGAGTGCCGTGTGTCGTGAGCCCAACTGTGCATGGTGGTCACGGTGAGTCTCGTGCCTTGTGAAAGGTGACTTTAGAGTCGACTCAGAGCTGCCCTGCCAGCGGCTGCACCAACTTCTTTGATTCTTTCTACATCATGGTTGTCACGGTGAGTGCCGTGTGTCGTGAGCCCAACTGTGCATGGTGGTCACGGTGAGTCTCGTGCCTTGTGAAAGGTGACTTTAGAGTCGACTCAGAGCTGCCCTGCCAGCGGCTGCACCAACTTCTTTGATTCCTTCTACTTCATGGTTGTCACGGTGAGTGCCGTGTGTCGTGAGCCCAACTGTGCATGGTGGTCACGGTGAGTCTCGTGCCTTGTGAAAGGTGACTTTAGAGTCGACTCAGAGCTGCCCTGCCAGCGGCTGCACCAACTTCTTTGATTCTTTCTACTTCATGGTTGTCACGGGGAGTTCCCTGTCTCGTGAGCCCAACTCTGCATGCTCGCCACGGTTTGTTCTGAGTCACGGTGAGTGCGTGTCCCGTGAAAGGAGACTTTTTGAGTCGACTCAAAACTGCCCTGCCAGTGCCTGCATCAGACTTCTTTGCCCCTGTCTGCTGCATGCTCACCACCACACCAGGGTAAGTCCATGTCTCCAGGAAGGGCTGCCTTTGCGCCATCCTCTTCGTGGTGGTCACAGTGAGCCTCTTGCCTCTTGCAACCACACTGCCACCTACCTGCATGCATGGCGACGGTGGGGCATGGCGGCGGTGGGGTATGGTGACGTGACGCCACACACCTCCTCTCACATACCTCCCTTAACCCCTTTTTACACCGCAGCAGGGGGCGACAGTGGGGTATGGTGACGTGACACCGCACTCCTCATGGGGGAGGGCTGTGGCAGTGTTCACCATATTCGCTGCCCTCACATACATTCCCCCATGCACCTCTCTTACGTCCCCTGTACACCTACCTTACCAGGGGGCGACGGTGGGGTATGGTGACGTGACGCCGCACTCGGCATGGGGGCGGGTGGTGGCTGTGGGCACGATCTTCGCCGCCCTCACATACATCCCGCTGCAGATCGGCCGCCTCGTTGAACTCGCCTCCAACCGGTGAGTCCAACGCACCCCTTGTTCTCCCTGTTGGAGAGTGGGGTGTGCCAGTGCTGCTGACTGTCACTGCTCCTCACCATATTCGCCGCCCTCACATACATCCCGCTGCAGATCGGCCGCCTTGTTGAACTCGCCTCCAACCGGTGAGTCTAACGCACCCCTTGTTCTCCCTGTTGGAGAGTGGGGTGTGCCAGTGCTGCTGACTGTCACTGCTCCTCACCATATTCGCCGCCCTCACATACATCCCGCTGCAGATCGGCCGCCTTGTTGAACTCGCCTCCAACCGGTGAGTCTAACGCACCCCTTGTTCTCCCTGTTGGAGAGTGGGGTGTGCCAGTGCTGCTGACTGTCACTGCTCCTCACCATATTCGCCGCCCTCACATACATCCCGCTGCAGATCGGCCGCCTTGTTGAACTCGCCTCCAACCGGTGAGTCCAACGCACCCCTTGTTCTCCCTGTTGGAGAGTGGGGTGTGCCAGTGCTGCTGACTGTCACTGCTCCTCACCATATTCGCCGCCCTCACATACATCCCGCTGCAGATCGGCCGCCTTGTTGAACTCGCCTCCAACCGGTGAGTCTAACGCACCCCTTGTTCTCCCTGTTGGAGAGTGGGGTGTGCCAGTGCTGCTGACTGTCACTGCTCCTCACCATATTCGCCGCCCTCACATACATCCCGCTGCAGATCGGCCGCCTTGTTGAACTCGCCTCCAACCGGTGAGTCTAACGCACCCCTTGTTCTCCCTGTTGGAGAGTGGGGTGTGCCAGTGCTGCTGACTGTCACTGCTCACCATATTCGCCGCCCTCACATACATCCCGCTGCAGATCGGCCGCCTTGTTGAACTCGCCTCCAACCGGTGAGTCCAACGCACCCCTTGTTCTCCCTGTTGGAGAGTGGGGTGTGCCAGTGCTGCTGACTGTCACTGCTCCTCACCATATTCGCCGCCCTCACATACATCCCGCTGCAGATCGGCCGCCTTGTTGAACTCGCCTCCAACCGGTGAGTCTAACGCACCCCTTGTTCTCCCTGTTGGAGAGTGGGGTGTGCCAGTGCTGCTGACTGTCACTGCTCCTCACCATATTCGCCGCCCTCACATACATCCCGCTGCAGATCGGCCGCCTTGTTGAACTCGCCTCCAACCGGTGAGTCCAACGCACCCCTTGTTCTCCCTGTTGGAGAGTGGGGTGTGCCAGTGCTGCTGACTGTCACTGCTCCTCACCATATTCGCCGCCCTCACATACATCCCGCTGCAGATCGGCCGCCTTGTTGAACTCGCCTCCAACCGGTGAGTCTAACGCACCCCTTGTTCTCCCTGTTGGAGAGTGGGGTGTGCCAGTGCTGCTGACTGTCACTGCTCCTCACCATATTCGCCGCCCTCACATACATCCCGCTGCAGATCGGCCGCCTTGTTGAACTCGCCTCCAACCGGTGAGTCCAACGCACCCCTTGTTCTCCCTGTTGGAGAGTGGGGTGTGCCAGTGTTGCTGACTGTCACTGCTCCTCACCATATTCGCCGCCCTCACATACATCCCGCTGCAGATCGGCCGCCTTGTTGAACTCGCCTCCAACCGGTGAGTCTAACGCACCCCTTGTTCTCCCTGTTGGAGAGTGGGGTGTGCCAGTGCTGCTGACTGTCACTGCTCCTCACCATATTCGCCGCCCTCACATACATCCCGCTGCAGATCGGCCGCCTCGTGGAACTCGCCTCCAACCGGTGAGTCCAACGCACCTCTCGGCCCCCCTGCTGCTTCCTACTGCCTCTGCTGTGCATTCTCTCTGTCCGAGTGTCCTCACTTCCCATGCTTTCAGCCGCCTTGATACCCCCCTCACCCCTCCCCTATCCTCCCCTTTCCCTCGTCCCCCTCTCCCAGCCCCTACGGCGGGTGGTTGTCACGGTACCGCACGGTGGGGAGGCGCTTTGTGGTGATCTGGGGGGTGTCGTCTGTTGACTGTGCACGTGACCTGCTCTGCTCCTTCTTCTCGCCGCTGCACAATGGCCGTATGTACACCCACCACCTCGCTCACCTCCTTGACTGGCTTGACTTTCTTGACTTGTCTCCTTTGCCACACGTACGTACCTTGTGTAATGAGTCTATTTTTGAGTCGACTCAAAAATAGACTTGTCTCCTTTGCCACACACACGTACGTACCTTGTTGATCCACTGCTGGACTGCACTCTCTGCACTCCGCGCCTCGTACTCCACGTTCTCACCATCTCTTCAGTGTTACCACCCCCTTGCGTTATCCTGCTTACCCTACTTGCCACGGCCAGTTCTCCTAACCTACATCTCACTCGCATTGCCCCTTATCCTCCTACTCTCCTCCCTCCCTTTCAACCCCTTCCTTTCTCTTTGTTTTCTCCCCATCCCTCCTCCCTCCACCAGGAGTCCCCGTCTATCCACTCAAGGTGGTCTTCATGGGACCCGACCCCCCCTCGTGAGTTCCCCCCCTTCGTCCCACCCCTCGTGAATCCCCCTTCTCGCTATGTCTCCCCTTTTCGTGAATCATGCACTCGCCCGTGCCCAAGCCTTTCACCTGCCCCTCCTACACCTATTTTCACCGCACGATCTGTTGAGCTCTCCACGATTTCACCCTCCCCTCCTCTCATTCTCTCCTACCATCCACTCCTCCCTCATCTCGCCTCTCTCCCGCATCTCCTCATCTCGCTCCTCTCTGCAGCTTCGCCTTCAAGGCGCTTCTGGGTTTCTTCCAGGGCAAGGCTCGGTACATGCAGGGGCAGCTGCAACACAGGCCACTGTGTGCGGATCATGAGAATTCTCTCCTTTACTTCTCTCCCTCTCTCTCTGCCCTCTCGCAGCTTTGCCTTCAAGGCGCTTCTGGGTTTCTTCCAGGGCAAGGCGCGGTACATGCAGGGGCAGCTGGACCGTCCAGATGACTTTGATCGTGTGGCTGCCAGGGACGCCCTCGCCATCTACCTCCTGGCCAATAGGAGCACAGAGGTGGGCGTGTGTCGCCATCAACCCCCGTGCATGCAAACCCCGTGCATGCAACCCCCGTGCATGCAACCCCCGTGCATGCAACCCCCGTGCATGCAACCCCCGTGCATGCAACCCCTTGCATGCGGCGGAGAGTGAGGACACAGCGCAGCTCATCTAGGGACTCATGGCACTCTATTGTTGCCGGTGTGCGCTCTATGATCCGCCACTGCTCTCATCTGTGCGTGTGTCTGCGCGCTCCACCTTGCCTGTATGCAATGCAGGACCCAGAGAGTGAGGACACGGCGCAGCTCATCCGAGGCCTTGTGGCGCACTGGTCGGGCCTGTGTGCCCTCCATGATCCATCACACCACTGACTGTCCTCTGCTCTCCTCCGTGTCCGCCACATCACCTTGTGTGTGTGTCTGCGTGCTCCACCTTGCCTGTATGCAGGACCCAGAGAGTGAGGACACGGCGCAGCTCATTCGGGGGCTCGTGGCGCACCGGTCGTGCCGGGGGCGTGTGAGAGTGGCGGTGGAACTGCTGCGCCCTCAGGTGAGGAATGTGGTGACAAGCGGTGGCATGCGGTGGCAAGCGGTGGCAAGCGGTGGCAAGTGGTGTGTTTTGAGACTCCGTGAATGCACTGGTTTGAAAGTGGTGGTGGAGCTGCTTCGCCTGCAGGTGAGGCATGCAGGGAAGCGAGGAGAGGGCGGTGACATGCCTCATGCATGCTATTCCTCCTGCCTGCCTTGTTCCTTGCCTGCCTTATCCCCAATCCCCCATCACTCATTCCACATGGCCCTCCACCCATTTAGCGTCCTCTATCCCCCATCCCTCATCCCCCATCCCCCATTCCCCATCCCCCAACCCCCATCCCCCATCCGCCATCTCCCTTCCGCCATGGCTCTGAACGGCAGGTGGAGGGCAGGGGCGCCATGTGGGGGGAGGTGGGCGCGTTGGAGCTCTTTTGCACGGACCCCACGCGCTTCTGCCTCCTCGCTCGCAGGTACTGCTGGGCTCGTGGGTGGGTGGGTGGGTGGGTGCAGGGAGGTGGGGGCTGGGGAAGGTGGTAACTGGGCCCCAAGTTGGGGGGAGGTGGGTGCATTGGAGCTGCTCTGCCCCGACCCCACGCGCGTCTGCCTCCTCGCCCGCAGGTAGTGCTGGGCTCGTGGATGGGTGCAGGGACGGAGGTGCCAACTGGGGGAGGTGGCAGCTGGGAAAGGTCCCCTCACCATGTCACCTTGCGCGTCCCTGCCTGCATGCAAGCACCCTTAGTCTCCATCGTTCATAGTTTGCTGTTCTTCCCAACCCCAATGCCACGCAGCTGCCAGGTTTCCAGTCATCAGCATGCACGTGCCGAACGTCTTCTCGTCGGGCTTGCCACTCGGCGCTCACTCTGCATTCACCCCCCGGGACACATCCCTGCTTCTCCCCCCCACTCCCGGGCATCCCACCAAACCCTTTACCACCACTCCAGCTGCGAGGTCCCTGCCGTGAGCACGCTGGCGACAAGCCTTCTGTCTCAACCACCGTCACTCTGAGCTTTCCATTCATTCCCCCACCTTTCTCACATCCCAACCCCCAACCCCCACCACCACTGCAGCTGCGAGGTTCCGGCGGTCAGCACGCTGGTCACAAACCTATTCTCGTCGGGCCCACCGCTGCCACCCCTGCGAGGCGCCCCACACCTGAACGAGTACATGCAGGGGCAGCAGATGGAGTCCTTTCCTATGCTGCTGCCCCCCGCCTTCCATGGGATGCTCTTTGAAGCGGTATGCCGGGACTGGAGTGGCGGAGGTAGTTATGTGTGTGTAGGTAGGTGAGGAGGAGGAGGGTTTGTGGGAATGGTGAAGCAAGGGCAGCAGATGGAGGCGTTTCCCATGCTGCTGCTGCCCCCCGCCTTCCTCGGCATGCTCTTTGAAGCGGTAGAAATTGATGTGGAGTTTGCGCTGCTGGTATCGAATTCGGGAAAAACCGGGTGCATCGTGCTTTTCTTCCGCCGCAATGGAGTCACTTATTTAGATTTTTGTACAAGTTCTTTCTCTTCTCCTTTTGTGTTGCCGCGTTCTGCTCGTGCGTCAGCTGGTGGAGGTGATATATCGCGCCTACCGAGTCATCTTATTCGCAGTCGACATCTGCCTTGATGAAACGCCAGACGAAACGCCAGATGAAACGGCAGATGAAACGGCAGATGAAACGCGTGCGCCACACGGTCTTCCCAGCTCCTCAAAACCCCTCTCCACCCCCTCCATCGTCCACTACGGCCCCCGCCTCCACCCCCTCAAGAAAATCGTCCGCTCCTCCACTAACTTCCCTGCTGCCTTTGGTGTGGGTGGAGAGGAGGGGCAGGAGGGGATGACGGAGGGGGAGCAGGGAGCAGAGGAGGAGAGGCAGGTGGTCGGTGGGGATGGGGATGGTGTGGGGAGCGCGACGGGGAGAGGGGCAGCGGATGGTGGCGCTGCCAGCTTGCGGAAGATTTTCCTGTTTCCACGGGGGCATGTGATTGGTCCAAGGGACGTGGGGCATGTGATAGCGCCGGATCTTGCTACTGTGGAGAAGATCTCCCGAGCGGCGCACTCGCTGTCTGCAAGGGCGGCGGGCGGCAGCTGGGGCGGCATGCGCCAATCGTACTCTGGGAGAGGGGAAGGGCGGGACGTGGAGGATCCATTCGAGAAAGTCGTTGACATTGATGAGGAAGGGGAGGGGGAGGAGAAAGCGGGGGAATGGAAGGAGGATGTGCAGGAGAAGTGGGAGGAGCGGGAGAGGCGTGAGGGGGAGGAAAGGAGAGGAAAAGGTATCTCAAGTTATGGCAGCTCTGGTGGCAGATGTGGTGTACAATCCTCAGGTGCTGCTGCCACAGGTGAACCTCTTGCGATAAGTGACCAAGATCATGCCACACCTTTCAGAGTTCCCAAGGGGCGCCCACACGCCGCCAAGCTTCTGCAGCTGCTGGCACGAGCTTGTGCCACATGGGCCCACGCTCCCAGTGCTGCCTGGTCACCAGAGGCTCTGCTGACGTGGCGCCAGATCATTTTTGAGAGGGCGGGTGGGGAGGAGAGCACAGAAGGATTGGGGGAGGAGGGGGGGGACGAGGAGGAGGGGGAGGCGGAGGCGGAGGCGGAGGAGGAGGAGGAGGAGGAAGAGGCGGAGGCAGTAGGTGGACGGGTGAGTGGGAGTGGAGGAAGCAGGGCAAGCGGAGAGACAGAGGAGGGCAGGGATGATGGCAGCAGGAGGAGCAGCGGCGGGAAGAGCAGCGGTGGGAAGAGCAGTGGAGAGAGAAGTAGCCGTGGAAAGAGCAGCAGCGGGAGGCGCAGCATGTCTGAGTGGCTGTCAGAGGAGTCGCTAGCTCGCCAGCTGTTCCAGGCCATGCGTGCCGCCGCCTCCCAACGGACCTCCCTCCTCCTCTCCCGCTCTGCCTCCTCCACCCGGCGTGACTCTGCCTCTTCCACCCGTCACGGCTCAGCCTCTTCCTCCCGCCCCACCTCGGCCTCATGGCCCCGCGGGCCCTCGCACGCGCCCCTTCCTCACTCCTCGCCCCAGCGTGGGGAAGAGGAGAGGCTGAGCGGGGCAGTAGAGGTGGCAGAAAGGGGAGAGGAGAGCAGCGAGCATGCTACAGAGCAGCAGCAGCAGCAGCAGGGCGAGGACGATGACGAGGCTCTCATGGCCAAGAGCAGGGCTCTGGCGCGCCAGCTATCAAGAAAAGTCTCCTCCCGTGCTCTCTCCCGTTCACTCTCCCGCACTCCCTCCGGCGCTCTCTCTCGTGCTTCTTCCCGCTCCTCCACCCGCTTTTCCCGCCAGCCCACCCTTGCGTCCTCGTCCATCTCTGCCCCCCCAGTGCCCCAGCCGCTGCCTCTAGCGGCGTCAGTCAGTGCAGTCCTGGACTGGCCGCCCACTAGGCCCTCCCGCCGCCACTCACTCTCCTCCCGCCGCCACTCACTCTCCTCCCGCCGCCACTCGCTCTCCTCTCGCCGCACCTCACTCTCGTCTCGGCGTTCCTTGCCAGCCTCTCACAGTACCTCGCTCGACTCTCTCTCTCACACCAACACGGTTGCTCCAATGGGCTTGACTAGATGCACAGGTGCGGCAGGTTCAAGCATGGGCACAGCAGGTGTAGGGGGGGCATCTGGTCACCCAGAAGCAGGTCTTGAGAGCGTGGACGAAGCAGGCTTGGACGCAGCGAGCGTGGAAGCAGCAGGGGTAGACGCAGCAGGCATGGAGGCAGAAGAAGCCAGCGTGGTGGTGCTCACAGAGCCACCTGCCCTGCCCGCGCGCCCGCACCCGTCTACGCTGCAGCGCAACCGCAGGAAGATCGCGGCCCACCTGGAGAGTCGCACGCTGGCAGCGGTTGCAGGGGTGCTGCCCCGCGCGCACGTGCTGGTGCTGCTGCAGGGCGAGTGCTGGCCGCACTCCCTGCACTACTTCGTCAGCTTTCTTAGGAGAGATGAGGGCGCGTGGGGTGAAGGCGGAGGCGGAGAGGGAGAATGCGGGTCGTTTAAGGAGGGAACAGGGGAACGGGATGATGTGGAAGGGGGAGACGAGGGGAGGAGGGAGGGTGCAGAGGGGTGTGTACCGATTGTGTTCCTGTGGCTACATGAGCCGAGTGAGGAGCAGTGGGGGTGTGTGGGGCACCACCGCCACGTCTACTTCGTCAGGGGTTCACCCATCTCCCCCATGGACCTCCTTCGAGCCGGCGCTCTCACTGCAGGTGAGTTATGAGTCGACTCACAACTCGTGTCCCTGCGAGCATTGGGGGTGTGTGGGGCACCACCAGCACGTCTATTTCGTCAGAGGCTCGCCCATCTCCCCAATGGACCTCCTTCGAGCCGGCGCTCTCACTGCAGGTGAGTTGTTAGTCGACTCACAACTCGTGTTTGTGCGGCTGCAAGGGCCGAGTGATAGTGGTCATGGCGTCACACACCATCTCACACAATCCGCGATTGAGGCACCTCACAACACAACCATCCCATGCCGTGCCTGCCTGCCATCCCGTGCCCCTCTCCTCTCCCTCGCCACAGCCAAACGGTCTGCGTTTGAGGCACCTCGCAACCACCCCATCCCCTCCCTTCCATCCCCTTGTCGCCCGCTCCCCTGTCCTCTGTCTCTCCCTGTCCTAGCCAAGATAGCGATAATGGCATCAGACAGCATTGCCTCGCCCAGCACACTCCGCCTTTTGAGGCACCTCACAACCGCCCCATGCCTTCTCTGCCCTCCCCTTGTATCCCGCACCTCACCTCGCCCCCCAGCCAAGATAGTCATCATGGCGTCAGACACCGTTGCCTCGCCCAGCACACTCCACGTTCGAGGCACCTCGCAACCATCCCATCCCCTCCCTTCCATCCCCTTGTCGCCCGCTCCCCTGTCCTCGGTCTCCCCCACCAGCCAAGATAGTCATCATGGCGTCAGACACCGTTGCCTCGCCCAGCACGGTGGGGGCAGCGGGGGAGGAGAGCGAGGGCAGCACGACAGCGGGGGCAGCGGTGGACCCATCCATATTCGCGCAGGACGTGGAGAACGTGCAGATCGCTGCTGCTGTGCACCGCCTCCTCTCCTCCCACTCCGCCTCCGCTTCCCCCTTCTCCGCCTTCCCTCCCTCCTCCTCCTCCGCCTTCCAGCCCGACCTGCACCTCACCGGCACCGATTCCTCTGTTTCCCCGCTCCATCACCGGCACCGACCTGCGCCCTCAGCACCGCTCCCGTACCCTGCCCAGCCTTCACACCCCACACACACCCCAGAGGGTGCGTACAGCAACAGCGTGTTGTGTGAGGTGCAGCATGAGGAGAGCTTCCAGTTCCTGCCGCCGCTGAGCGTGCTGCACGGAGCGCTGCGGCAGTGGCGAGTGTCCCGCCGCACCACTCTCATCAACCACTCGCTGCTGCTCCGCTGTGCACCTGCCTTCATTGATGGCCGCGCCTCCTGCCCTGCTGGCCTGATGTTTCTCATGTAAGTCCTTACACCCGTGATTCCTCAGGTAGGTTGCCCTTAAATTCGCCTCTGTGCGGTTTTTTTTTTTCTTTATGCTAAGATACACTGCGGTAATTATGTTTTTTTTATATCAGCCCCCATTCTTGTTGACAACAATCTGCGATCTCCCTTAACCATCTCGCTTGACTACAACTTGTGGTCTATAACCTGGTCCCTTCTGTGTCACCCTGCCCCTGCCCACCCTCCCCCCTCCCCCCATCCACCAGCCACGGAGCGCTATTGAACCGCAACCTGAGTGCAGTGGCAGACCTGCTCATTGCAGGCGGCGCTATTTATGCGCCACGGGAAGCCGAGGAGCTTTTCAGGCGGCAGCAGCAGCAAGAGCAACAGCAGAAGCAGCAGCAGCTACAGCAGCAACCCATATCTCCCTCCACTTCTGCCAATGCACCTTCCAGTGCTCCCCTCATCAGCACCTCCTCCTCCAACTCCCACCCCACTTCCCAGCACCACTCTGCACCACTCCGGAGAGAGCTGGTGCTGTTGGCAGTACCAGCAGAGTATGTGGGAGGGTCATTCGAGAGTCTGTTTGTGGGTCTGCTGCAGCGGTATGGGCAGCTGGCTGTGGGGCTGTACCGCTGTGGTGGGGAAGGGCAGGGGGGCCCTCCAGTGCCGTATGTGGCCACCAACCCCGCTGCTGATGCCACTGTGGGCCATCATGACCGCGTGTACGTGGTGCGATAGTAGGTGGGAGTTGCTAGAGATCGATTATTGCAGTGCATTAATTATTGAAGGATTGGAGAGCATCTTTAGGAGAGATTAGGGAGAGATGATTAAATGCACTGCGCATGGCAATATGAAGCTGCACACCCGTAGAGTATTGTCCCCTCTAATGAGCTCCTCCTGAGTGCTAATGAAATATATACTGGGTAGTCACACAACTTAACCGCATGACATCAGTTTACTAGTTGACTATAAGTTAGCTACGACTACACCTAGCTAGAAGTACATTCAGGCAGCCATGGCTGCCTTATGACACCAGCAGATAACCCAGCAACACTTCTACACCCCCCCAAAACGCCTAGCCCATCAGCAACTCAAGAAGGCTTTAACAAACAAAGAAAGCGATCTAGACAAGCATGCCACTAACGAGTGGAAGGGGCTTCACTGCTGAGTGTGCTGTACCAATCGGGGCGTTGGGAAGGCAGCGGAGCGGACTAATTACAGCATGGTGCATGTCCCTTATTTTTTAGGCTTCTCATTCCTGCCACTTGTTACCCGCCCTCCTTCCTAAATCGCTTCACTCATCCCCCTCTTATACCGCCTGCCCCTCCTCACTCCCCTCACTCATCATCTCAATCTCAATCTCCCCACCGGACCTCCCCGCTCCCGCCTCCCCTCCCTGCTGCCTCAACCCATCCTGCCCATGCACCCTCCCATCATACACCTCTAGCGTCTGCCTTGCCGCCCCGCCAGCAGCCACAGCAGCGAGCACAGCCGCAGCAGCGGACTCTAGAGCAGCGTGGTCTGCTGCACGCCTGGTCACCAGCCCCTCATCTAGGTGGCTCATGGTGGTGTCACTCTCCCCATCGCCATACCCCACCACGCTACCACTCTCATACACCTCCCCACCCTCCACGCCCACTGCTGACATGAGCACCTCGCGCACCTGCTGGATGGACGGCCGGCTCTCTTCCCTCACCTGCCGTGGGGAACACAGGCGGTGGGAAACACACGGGATGGAAAAAGGACACAGTGGGATGGACAAGCATATGGAGCATCGGGTAGGTGTGGGGCTGATTGGGAGGAAGGGAACAAAAGGACAAGCTTATCCCACTGCGTTTAGCCCAGAACAGTGCCGTCCCCTCATGCTGTTAAACATCCCACTTCCCCCTCCCTTTTCAGACACCCAAACCCACACATCCCCCTCCTCTCCCCCTCCTCACACACACAACAAACAAACAACCAGTGACGCCCACCATCATCTCACCTGCGTACAGTCCTGTGCGAGCTCAATCACAGGCACGAGCTGGCTGGGCGGCACGCCGCCCAGAGTGACCAGTGCGCCGTCCAGCAGGCCGGCATAGTCATCCCGGCGCATGAAGAACTGCCGCACCCACACGATCAGCGTGCTCGAGTCGTCCAGCATGGCCCCCAGTTTGACCGTCCTTCTGTGCTCTTACACCCAACTCCCCCAACACACACCCCTTCACCCCACACACAGTACCAGTGAAGCCCACCCTGTTCTCACCTGCGTGCAGTCCTGTGCGAGCTCAATCACGGGCACGAGCTGGCTGGGCGGCACGCCGCCCAGAGTAACCAGAGCGCCGTCCAGCAGGCCAGCATAGTCGTCACGGCGCATGAAGAACTGCTGCACCCACACGATCAGCGTGCTCGAGTCATCCAGCATGGCCCGCCGCCCGGACAACAACTCAAACAGCAAAATCCCAAACGAGTACACGTCGCTCGCTGCAGTGAGCCGCTTCGTGTCCGCATACTGAGGGTCTAGGTACCCAAAGGAGCCCCGGGGAGAGATGGAGCGGAGCGGGTCGTCAGCGTCGTCACAGGGGACTTGGAACTCGGCGAGTTTCCCCTTGCTGTGAGCCGTGATCACCACGTTGCACGACTTCACATCCCCATGCACCATGCCGCCTCGCCACGCCTGCTCGCCTCCTCCCCGTGTGGACCCCAGGGGAGTGCCGGCCCCCACGCTCAGGCTCGTGCTGCCCTCGTGGGCCGAGAGGACGGGCGTGTGTGGGTCGTTGAGGGGTGTGGTGGAGTTGGGGGAGGCGGAGGCGGCGTGGGGAGGGGTGGAGGGGCCCTTGGGAGGGGTGTGGGTGAGGGTGGAGGCGGAGGTGTGGAGGTATTCGAGGGCCTCTGCCACCCCCAGGGCGATCACCATGCGCTCCCGCCATGACAGCGGCGCTCCACTGGCCTCTGCAGGTTGGGGGGAGGAGGAGAGAGGATGCCTTACCAGTAGGTGACATATACTGTGCTAAGAAACGACTAGAAGAGATGTGGGGGAGGGTAGCACAGGAGAGGATGAGGAGCAGGAGGGGGATAGGCGAGGGGAACAGGCACAGAGGTGAGGGACGGCAGGCATACCGTGGTAAGGGAGAGGGTGACAGGCAGCGTACCGTGGAGGCGGTCGAAGAGGGTCTCCCTTGTAGGCTCAAAGACAAGAGCAAAGTTGCCGTCCTCGTAGGCATACCCCCGGAAGGCAAAGAGGCAGGGGTGGCGGGCAGCATGGATGCGCTTGACCCTTGCCACAAACTCCTCCTTCATCGCGTCCAGGTACACCCCGGGGAAGCTCACCAGCTGCACCGACAGATGCTCCTGCCCGCCCCCTCCCACCACCTTGGGCGCTGCCTCAGCCGCAGCGGCAGCTGGTGTGGGCGAGGTAACAGCGGCAGGAGGTGCAGGAGCGGTGGTGGTGGTGGGGGCGGTGGGGGGGAGGAGGAAGGTGGCGTCGTAGATGGCGCGCGGGTCGTTGGTGTTGGCCAGGTGTGTGAAGCAGTCCGTGGCGTGGTTCAGCTGTGTGAACGAGAAGCGCGGAATGTCTGGGGGGGAGGGGGGGAGGGGGGGGGGGGGCAAGACAGTGGGAGGGTGGGTTTTGAGACGTCTCAAAGGTGTGTGAAGCAGTCCGTGGCATGGTTCAGCTGCGTGAAGGAGAAGCGCGGAATGTCTGGGGGAAGAAGGGGGGGGGCGTACAGTGGGAGGGTTGAGGGGCATTGAGGTGAGAGACAGATGGTGCGGCGCTAGTAATGAGCGAGCAACCTTGATGCAGCTGAACAAGGAAGGGATGCAGAGAGAGGGAGCACTGACCTGGCGGCATGCCTGGCAGGTACGTGTCTGGCGGGGGCGCTTTGAGCTCTCCTGTCTCCACGTCCTCTGTTACACGCCATGCCATGCCATGCCATGCCATCCCATGCCATTTCATGCCATGCCATGCAATTTTATGCCATGTCATGCCATCCCATCCCATTTCATGCCATGCCACGGATGAAAGGGGATAGCGGGCACACAGAAAGCAGCAGCGGTTATCAAGCAAGTCATTAGATACTAACAAAGGTGATCCACCAGCCAGCCCTCCATCCACTCCTACCATTCCCCCATTCCCCAACCCATTCACCTACAGCCGGCCACTCACTGAATTCCTTTGCCTTGACCACCACCTTGGTCGCTGGCAGCACTGCCTTGGGCCTGCCCTGCTGCATGCGCTTCACCCCCGCGTATGCAGCACCCGCTGCCACTGCCACGGCGAGCAGCACGAACACCGCAATGGTGAGAGCGATGCTGAGGGAGGATGAGGAGGACGCGCTCTGAGCGGCATCGTATGGCACTGCGGGGGGGAGGAGGGGAAGTTGAGGGGGAGTGGGCGGGGGCAGGGGGGTTTTAAGGGGAGGGGAGAGGGGGAAGGCACCAGGAAAGGGGAGCGGAAGTGGAAGGGAGGGCGGGTGGGGATTGGCACGTGGCAGCAGGCTTGAGACAAACAACGGAGAAGATGTGAACAGGGATTAAGGGTGGTACGCGCAGGACTCTTGGCACTGGCGGGCGCGGGTGGGACTCACGGCACTGGTAGGCGGGGCGCTGGTAGTGCAGGAAGCAGATGTTGTCAGAGACGGTGGCGCAGTCCATGGGGTATGCGGGGGATGACGGGCTGGACGACAGGCAGTTGCCGTACACTGTTGATGCCAGTGACCTGCGCTTCCAGGGGAGTTGGTGAAGTGGAATGGGAGTTTGAGCGGGCAGGTTCGTGTGGGAAGGGTGTGAGCGAGAGGGCTGGGTACAGGAAGTTTGGGTTGGCGAGTGGGCGACGGGCTGGACGACAGGCAGTTGCCATCTATGCCAGCAACCTGCGCTTCAAAGGGGGAGGTTCGTGCTGTACAGGGGCGGGTTGGGGCGGGAAGCGTGTGAGTGTGATGACATGGCTGGGGTTAAGGAGTGGGCAACGGGCTGGATGCCAGAGTGATGGCGGGCAGCAAAGAGGCCATCGAGGTGAGTTTGGAAGCAAGCAGGGCTGGATTGGAAGGAAGAGGAGAAACTAAGTGCGGGCAGAGGGGTGCAGCAGAGCAGGCGCATGGTGGCGCACCTGTTGGCGTGGATGCGGGCCATGGGGGCATGGGGATGGGCCCTAAGAATGATAATTTTGGTGATTCTCAAAGGTGATCCCGGTACGCGAGTGGGCGCACCTGTTGGCGCGAATGCGGGCCATGAGGGAGTCAGGGATGGGTCCTGAGAAGAAGTTGTTGGAGAGGTTGAAGAGTGCGCTCTCAGGCAGCGATGCAATGAGGGCCCCAGGCAGAGCACCCGAGAAGCTGCTGTTGGTCAGGTCCCTGTGTCAGGCACACGCATAGCATACACGCACAAGCATAGCATACACACGCACACAATCCCATCCCAAAGTCGTTGAGAAATGACGATTGAGGAGCGAACCCAGGAACTGAAGAGGGGTGTGGGCTGTGAGAGGGGCTGACAGGTCCGCACAAAAAAACGATAAGTTACACTTTATCCTGAAAATATAGGCACCTTTGAGTTGACTCAAAACACGAATGAATGGGGCGGGTAGCCTGGTAGTGGTGACAGGTGAGCAGAAAGCTGACTCACAATCTTTTCAGCCGAGAGAGGGCGGACAGGGTCGTTGGCACGCTGCCATTCACGCCCGACAGAAAGCTCACGTCCAGCAGGGTGAGGTTCGTCAGCTGCCCGATCGTGTCCGGTAAGCTGCCCGTGAAATTGTTCCCGTGGAGGTCCAGCAGGCGCAGCTTTTTCAGGCTGCCCAGCTGGGAGGGAATGGAGCCGGTGAAGGTGTTGCCGCCCAGGTCTAGCATAGAGATGTCGGTGAGGGCACTGATGGAGGGAGGAATGGGGCCCGTCAGCCCTGTCTGGTTCAAAGTCCTGGCGTGGCATGGCACCGGAATAGAGGGTCGAAAAGGGGGTGGGATGGAGAGAAGGGAGAGAAGGGAGATCGGGATGAATGGGAGAACGCGATGAAGAAGAGCTCGGTTGATTTGAAACAAGTGCAGGGAGTTGGGGGCGTGAGACACCCACAGGTTGCGGAGCAAGTTGCAGTTAAAGAGCTCGTCGGGAATGCTGCCAGAGAGCGGGTTCTTATCGAGCGTGAGGCCCAGCAGCGTGGAGGAGAGCTGGCCCAGCTGCGACGGGATGGACCCCGAGAACTGATTCCCTGGCAGCGAGATGACTGAGAGGTTGGTGAAGTCGCCCAGGTACGTGGGAATGGGGCCCGTGATGTCGTTGTAACCCAGTCGACTGGCCATGGCGGACAGGCGGGTAGGGGGGATGTGGGGAGGGAGAAGAATCGGCAGAGCCGTGTTGAGGAACAGAGGCAGCTGGGTTAATCTGCTGGGCGAGTGGCGTTAAGGATTGCGATGCTGGGAAATAGATGTGGGCGGAAGCGGAAAGGGGGCCGCGGGGAAGAGCGGAGCGTGTGCGCAGCATGGTATCATGGCAGCAAGGACGTACAGTTGCTTGACTCGGATGGCGTTGGCGAAGGTGTCGGGGATGGGCCCTGTGAGGTTGTTGTTGAACAGTATCCTGCATGCACCACACGCATGCATGCACCACACGCACGCATGCACCACACGCACGCATGCACCACACGCGCACGCCGCGTTGTGATAGGTACGTGAGCAGTGAGCAGTGATCGGCGCAAGGCTGCCCTTCTGACGCAATCCAACTGGCAGAGGGGAGACGAGAGCTGAGAGCGCGGAGTGAAGTGAGTGACATGGAGGGGACGTGGTGGCCAGGGTCGATTGACAAGTCACAGGAGATGTGCTGTGGTGGAGTGCGCGGCGATGGACGGGTTGAGAATGGCGGGGAGCGGTCACTCACAGGGTTGACAGGCTGCTGCGGCCAAAGCCGGCAGGAATTGTGCCAGTGAGTCTGTTGTAACTCAGTTTCCTGTGGCAACGCGGAAGCCCGCGCAATGCGGATCGACAGATGTGGGAGCAAGCACACACACGCACGCGTGGCACAAGAGAGAAGGGACGGGGATGAAAGGAGAAAAAATGAGGTGTTGGCGGATCGGATGGAAAGATATGAGAGACAAGGAGCAGGAGGAGTGAGAGTGGTGGGTGGGGGAGAGGAGCCAAGGGGAATGAGGCAGGCGAGAACCAACGACATGCGAAAACGACGAAGAGAATAAGAGTGAGCGAGAACAAAGTTGCATTGCGACGAAAACAAGGGGGTTCTGAAGAACGCACACTTGGCGCAAGGACTTCAGCCCTGCGAGCTCGGAGGGGATGGAGCCGAAGAGGTAGTTGCGGTGCAGGTTGATGGACTTGAGGCGCGACAGCTTCGAGAGTGCCGGCGATATGTTCCCCACCAGTCCCATCTGCTTCAGGCTCCTGCGGAGTGAGGATTGGGGAAGAATCGGGGGATCGGGACGAGCGATGACGTAACAGGGCGAGACGAACGTTGAAACGGATCGGATGACGACGAGATGGGGAGCGCACGCAAGACCAACTCGGGGGAAGCCGCCTCGTCGCTAAGCTTGGCGCAAGACCCATCCGGCAAGGCGAGGCACTCACAGTATCCTAACGTATCCTTCGTCGGAGCATTTAACGCCATCCCACGCGCAGTGGTTAGGCTGCTCCGTTAGGTTCCACGAGTCTAAGGACCGATGGCTGTAAAGGTGGTCCTTGAACGCGAGAAGCGCGATTGCTGCGATGCGGAATGACGGGAATAATGGAGCAGGGACAGGAAAAGTGGAGCGCTTTTATTTACGCCAAGCTAGGGAAGGAAGGTCGTGATAATGAGCGACGAAGAGAGACCGCGGAAGACAGCGGCTGAGTATAGGAGGCCTAAAATGCACCTAACGACTCAGCGAGGGGTGGCAATGCGGCAGAAACTACGAACCTTCCTCTGGGGCGGCTGCCTTCGGGACTTCATGTTTCTTGGCGTCGACATTGAATGACGTGACCAGGAGCAGAGCTATAATCAGCCTATACCATTGGAAAAACCGTGTGGATCCTAATTGAGCTAACGAGCCTCCTAAGCGGCAGGGAAGTTTGACGCCTCTCATTGCTATAACTCGATGTATGACACGAGTCTAGAAATGACTAAGCTTAGACCAAACATGGCCTAGCGTGAGCCGTGAAGCTCGGAGAACGAACCAAGACCTAAGTACAGTGCAGTTTAGGAGAAATTAGCAGTGGAGGTGATGGTGGTGGCAGTATTTGGACTTGTGTTGACTCGGAGGTCTGGGCTGGAAGGAAGAAACTCTGCGGTCGAGATTTGTTGGAACGCAGACGTCGCTTGGGATTGACGTCTCGCTTTGCTTCTCCCGTTCCTTCCGTCCCTTGGGGTCCTGCTCGGGAGTGTTGCGCTTCTCTTGGGTTTGTCTTCGGTCACGATTCATGTCTCTTCGCGTTCTCCCTCATTCGCTGCCTGTTTGCTATCGTCAACGCCGAAACTGAAACCGTCAGGTTTCGCTTGCGAAGTCTGTCATTCAATTTCGCGCAGGAACGATGCCAATTTCGGTGATCATCTGTCATGCGACGCCTGACCACCACGGAGGTCGTCAGGGCTGGGTTTCGCGCCATTCCGAAAGAGCAACACTCTATACTCTGAATAAGGCTCTTCACAAAACCCCTCTATAAGCCGAAACTGTACTCAGAATGTATAGATGGGAAGCACTGTTAGCTGAAGTTGCTGTTCACTACGATAACTTTCAAGGTTGGTATTCACGTGAACTGCTTTGAGGAATTCCCAAGGCGCCCTGTCTTGCTGAATTACCACAGCCCACGCTCTGTTCCAAGCTCAAACGCTCGAAACCAGCATTCAGCATCCAGTGAGGAATGGCATTGTCCCATGGGAACGCCACGGATAGCTTTTGTAGTCTGAATGCACAAGTGCGGCTCGCGGTTGCTGTAGAGACGCGGCTTTACGCCGTTGAAGGTACACGCAGGAAAAAACAGGATTTGTAGTGGGATTCGGATCAAAGATGGCGGAACCTGCCGGGCTGAACATAACGTCGTCCCGCCAGCTGTGTCCTGACATCCAACTGTCCTACCCCAACGTCGTGCAAGACTGCTACGCCTCGAGAAGCACGACCGGCTATTCCGTCTATGTCATTCCCTTCAACACCAGGTATCGAATCCCGTATGCTAATTCGTCGGCTGTGGTTTCCAAGGTTCGATTACCTTCAGCTCACCGCCTCTTCTTCACTTTCTTCGTACTCAATGTCCTCGTTTCTAGTGGCCGCGTAGTTAATCGCCTCGTTCCTCACCTCCAATCGACGGCTGTCCTTATCCTGACGTTGTTTTCCCCGCGTCCTTCTCAACCAGCTGCGACAGCTTCCTGCTGCTTCCCGCGGAGCAGCTATGGAGTCCGGCGGTGCGGTCGGCGTGGTACCTGTTCGGCATGCTGTACTGCTTCGTGGGGCTCGCCGCCATCGTGCGCGTCTTCATGGCGGCCCTCGACCGCATCTCCAGCACGTACGCCATGGTGAGGGTTTCATCTCGATGACGTACGCCATGGTGAGGGTTTCATCTCGAGGACGTACGCCATGGTGAGGGTTTCATCTCGAGGACGGACGCCATGCTGAAGATTCCATCTCGAGAACGTACGCCGTGGTGAGGGTTTCATCTCGAGGACGTACACGATCGATTGCATCTCAAGCACGTACGCCATGGTACGAATCGATTGCATCTTGAACACATAAACCATAGTACAAGCTTGCTCCGTCATATTGCCTATATGTACGTTCAAGTATACACTTCTGTATTACCTTAAGAATGTCCCTTGTGCCTTCCACGTTCCTTTCAACTGTTTTCGTTTCCAGGTGAGTCGGCGCGACCCTGAGACGGGCAGGGAGGAGCGGCGGATGGAGAAGGTGTGGAACAGCACGGTGGTGAACATCGCTCTCATGGCTCTCGGCACCTCCGCGCCTGAAATCGTCATCGCTGTTGTTGACGCCCTCAAACACCTCAACCGGGGGCCTGGCGGTGAGAGGGGCGGGAGGGAGAGAGGGAGGGAGGGACTGGTTGCCTGGATGTTTGATTGGGGATGGATTGGTATGTGTTTGGCAAGGAGTGTGGGCGTCATGCATGAATAGGTGCGTGGCACGTCCTATGTTTGCCTGTTACAGGCACCATCACAGGCACCATTACAAGCACCGTCACGGGCAACATCACAGGCACTCCTCTGTGTCATCAACTCCTCTGCCCTATGCCTGTGCCTGTCCTTCCCGGTCTCCCCCTTCGCCTATCCCCCTCTGCGTCCCCTCTGCTGCCTCTCCCTGCAGTGCTGGGTGCGGGCACGGTGCTGGGGTCAGCAGCGTTCAACCTCATGGTCATCTCAGCCTCTCCTCCTCTGCCTCTCCTCCTTTGCCTCTCCTCCTTTGCCTGTCCTCCTCTCTGCCTCTCCTCCCTTCTCCCTGCAGTGCTGGGTGCGGGCACGGTGCTGGGGTCGGCAGCGTTCAACCTCATGGTCATCTCCGCCTGTTCTCCTCTGCCTCTCCTTCTTTGCCTCTCCTCTTCTGCCTCTCCTTTGTCTCTCCGTCTTCCCCTCTCCCTGCAGTGCTGGGTGCGGGCACGGTGCTGGGGTCAGCAGCGTTCAACCTCATGGTCATCTCAGCCGTCTGTGTGGTCACGCCGCCCGCCCACTCCATCAAGCGCATCCAGGCCGTCGGTGTCTTCCTCCTTGAGCTCGCAGCCAGCACGTGGGCATATGTCTGGATCTTGCTCGTGCTCAAGGTGTGTTCAGAGAGCCTCAGAGCCCCCACAGGCACGTTGGCATACATCTAGATCCTGCTCGTGCTCAAGGTACCCTGCTCCTGTCCGCCGTATCTCATGCATTTGGTCTCATCTCATGCATTTAGTATTGGCTGCTCTCAGGACCTGCTGCAGTGAAGAAGCCCTGCCTTGTGTTCGCTCCTTGCTTGGTTCCCTCCCGGCCCCACTGGGCTGCTCTGTGCTCCACAGGTCTTCTCCCCCGGCCGTGTCACCATAGTGGAGGCATGCATCACGCTGCTCTTCTTCCCCCTCTTCATCCTCCTCGCCTACGCACAAGACCAGCACTGGCAGCACTGGCAGCACTGGCAGCACTGGGGCCCCTTCCTGCCCCGCCCCACCCCCCATGCGCCCCGTCGTGGCTCCCTCACTCGCTTCAAGAACTACGGCAGCAGGGAGGCGCTCATAGGTCCCTCTGTTGCTCAGGGCGGCAGTAAGAATGCTGCTGCTGGTGGCGGGAATATGTCGGGAGTTGGTGCGTGGTGGCGAGCCCTGTGGGGGGCCCATGAAAGCAAACCAGTGGATGCGGCAGGAGGGAGAGGAGGGGAGGGGGTGGGGAAGAGCAGCACTGATGGTTCGGGAGCAATGGAGGGAGGGCAGGGAGAGGTGGAAATGCAGAGAGGGGCTCACGCAGCAAGCACGAGCATTGCGGTGGGGGACGCAGAGGAGGGGCCAGGGGAGCAGCGGGCGGAGGAGGGAGATGGGCAGAGGTTGCATGGGAGCGCGGATTTAAGTGACTGGGAGGTCGTGGTGAGTGTGCGGCGGTTGGGGGTTGGGGTGTGATTTGTTTAGGCGCCTCAAAAGCAGAGGTCGCATGGGAGCTCGAATTTGAGTGACTGGGAGGACGTGGTGAGTGTGTGGCGGTTTGCGCTGTGTGGGGCTGGTTGTGGTGAGTGCCCGCGGTTTGGGTGTGGCGAGTGTGTGTGGGTTGGGTGTGGTGTGGTGAGTGTGTGTGCGTGGGGTGTGATATTAAGATCCATAGTCGGGCATTTAAGACTTCATGAGCCCAGATGATAGAGTTCACTGATTGCTGGTTCACGTTTTTGTGGCTGGTGGTCTGGCAGGGGCGGATGGAGCCTGAACAGCAGCAGCAGCAGCAGCAGCAGCAGCAACAGGAGGAAGCGTCAAATAACATTTCTATGGAGCCAGCAGCAGCTGAGGAAGGGAGAGTTGAATCAGGTAATGCCTGTTTCTGCCTGCATGCAGTAACATGAAATGCGTTTATGAAAACAATCTGTCAAGATGCCCCCAACGTCTTGCTCTTCGCCAGGACCCATGTGCCTCTCTCTCAATCTGTCGCCTTTTGAGTGAACAATTAAACGTCCACTCATCAGATACTTTATGCGAAATAGTCATGACAAGCGGTCCCTCGCATCCCTCTCTTCCCCAGGCTCCAGGTCCGTGTCTCTCAGTGCACCGCCAGCAGTGCCCCAGAGGTCCAGCAGTTGCATCCAGGTGACCTCTAAGCCGACTCAAATGTCCCCTCACATCCCTCACATCCCTCACATCCCTCACATCCCTCACATCCCCCACATCCCTCACATCCCTCACATCCCTCACATCCCTCACATCCCTCACATCCCTCACATCTCCCAGGCTTCGGGTCCGTCTCCCTCAATGTACCGCCAGCAGTGTCAGCAGTGCCAGCAGTGCCCGCTGTGCCCCAGAGGGCCAGCAGTAGCAACCTTCGCCGCCGGTCAGGTGCTGGAATGTCCACTGCTGCTGCCATGCAGCATGACTCACCCAATCCCTCTCTGTACGTGGTTACAGTGAGGCACTTCTTTATTCAGCTGACCAGTTGCCGTACCCAGCCACTTGACTAGCCACCGTAGAAACCTCGCTGGAGCAGACAGCCTCTGCTCGCTCACGCACGGTCACGACCGCTATTGTTAGTGTGCATTTGTGTTCGCGGTGTATACTTTCAATGATAACAAACAAACAAACAAACAAACAAACAAACAAACAAACAAACAAACAAACAAAAAAACAAACAAACAAACAAACAAAAAAGTCTGCCTGAATGTGAAACCTCCTCCTGTTGATCATTCCCGTTGTCTGTTTGCAATGACGCCCCACTTCTCATCCATCCCGTCCCTGCATGTGTCCCTCCCTCTTGCTCTCAGCTCACGCCGTCTGGGGCAGCACCTGTGGCTGCGCTCGCAACTCCCTGGCCTCGCCCATTCGCCAGCTCCTGCCGTCCGCCAGACGCCCCTTGCCTCGCCAGCCCCGCTCGTTCTCAGCCCACCACAGCAGCAGCAGGAGGAGGAGCAGCGGACGGAAGAGGAGAAGGCGGAGGGGCATGCGAGGGAAGGAGGGGCAGCTGGCGATGGGAGAGTCGGATTGCACGCAGACGACGGGCATGCTGTGGATCTGTTACAAGGTGTGATTTCTAGGGGTGTTTTCATCTCAACGACAAGCACTACCAAACTGTGTGGTTTTTCTTATATATAACTTATTCTTTTCCCAGCAGCATAATTCCCTAAACCGTTTTTGCCTCTGTGACTGTACTCACCTTCTCCTGCTCATATTGCCCGTCGTCGTCTTCCCCATCCTATTTCGCGCCTTCCATTCATACTTTCTTTCCCTTCCCAATTCTTTACCCTACTCCTTCCGTCCCCTCCTCGATTCAACTCCCCTTTTCAACTACGGTGAACCCACATGGGTATCAGAGCGGTGGACGTTGCTGGTGCAAACAGGAGAGAGGGAGGTGTGCCGGCTTGAGAACACTCCGGCAAGCACCAACGGAGCCAGCAGCAGTGCCCCAAGCTGCATCACTTCTCCGGTCCATGCCCTCAGCTTGTGAGTGTCAGACAGTATTAGTTCCCACTTTGATTCCGATGCATCTGTGTGCCTCTGATGATCGGCTTTTCTTGTTATCCTTTTAATGTCAATTCATTTTCTGTTTTGTTTCCACTGTCTCTTCTTCTCTGCCCTCCCAACCAGCCGCGTGCCCTCTGCAGAAGCGCTCCATCTCCAACTGGAACTGACTATTTCTCACTGGCCTCACATCTTTAGCAACAGCAGCTGCACGCATGCACGACAGGCATCCACGTCACACCCAGATGCCACGACGCCACCCCTGCAGCCCAGCTCAGCAGCATCCGCTGATGCTGGCAACGCATCTGTGACCCTCACGGATCACTCGTTACAATCACAGTCACCTTGGTTTGTGGCAGTTGCTTCACTGGTACCCCCTTCAACACAGTCACACTCTGCATACACGTCTTTCTTGCTGCTTGAGAACGCAAGTGGGGCAGGGAGGAGACGGGGTTGTGGGGAGGAAGGGTGCCATGTGGAAGGAAACGTGAAGGCAGAGCTACACGTGGCGGTGCGAGTGGAAGCAGGGGAGGGAGACAAGGTGGCGGATGTGACAGTTACTGTGCTGGGTCTGCGCCTTGCACTGGAGAAACAGCGTGGTATGCACCTCTCTCCCTATATTTCTTGCTCTTGCCCCAACACTCAAAGCTGATGATTTTATCACAGCATGTAGCTGTTTCTTCCATGTCTTCCCTGTTGGATGTGGGCGTTTGTGGAAATCTTTCACTCAAGGCATGCTTGAGTTCATTCCACTTTCTGACTCTCTGCCAACCAGGACAAGGGGGGCTGGGTGGGCTCAGCATATGGAGAGAGCCGACCTCATCTGCCCTATCAAGCAATCCGGGATTGGGGGAGGTTTGGCTGCAGCAGATCGAAAAGGCAATTTCGGTAAGCCATCCCACCTTGCTCTGTCGTCATTTCACCCAGCCTTAGCTGACTGCTTCTTTGGCATTTCGAATGGGTCTCAGGTCCCACTGTCGGGTCACCAGAGGGACGTGTCACTGCTGGGCCTTGGAGTCCACTTCATCTCTTTCTACTGGAAGCTCCTCTTCTCACTCATCCCTCCACCCTCCCTTATGCGTGGCTGGCCAGCCTTCATCCTCTGTGAGTGGAGTTAGACAGCTGCAATTCAGAAGCTGCAGCTGAAGGTTCTCTGTAGGTTTTGTCGAACCCGCTTGTGCTATTTATTTTGAATCACTCCTTCGCACATACGTTGTGCACAGTACTAGAGCATATGTGTTGTGAGCTCACTCCCATGTGGTAACGCCTGCAGGTCTCTGCTTCATGGCTGGCATTTCTTTCCTAATTGAGGAGTTCGCGAGGCTCTTTGCGTGCACATCAGGCCTGCACCTCTTCTCAGTTGCCATTGTCTTCGTGGCTAGTGTAAGCTCTTCTGAGTGAGTTGCAGCTTGATTCCTGATGCCTTGAGTAGTTCTGTAGCATATTGTGTTACTGTTGCTTCATTTCCTGTTCTTTAATTTTTTACATCGATGATTTCCCACATTCTCCCACCGGCCCCAACCCACCCCTGTTCATACCAGGGGACCTCTGTGCCTGACCTCCTCGCAAGCAGAACGGCTGCCAGACTGTCACCCTCTGCTGATGTGGCCATCGCAAACATTACCGGTTCAAACGCTGTGAATGTCTTTGTGGGTCTTGGCCTGGCATGGCTGATCAAGGCGGGGTATGAGAAGGCAGTTTCAGGCAACTTGCTATTTGTCCCACACCTTTTAAATCTGGAGTTTTCTGTCATAGCTTTCTTGTGCACCACCGTAGTATTCGTTATCATCATGGGTTTGAGGCGCAACCTCGCTGGTGGAGAACTTGGGGGTGCCAGGGGATGGGCTTGGTTAGCATTCAGCTTATTCATCCTCTCGTGGTGTGGCTTCCTTGCTGTAACGACTGTGACGAGTCAGCAGTAATGAAAAGCGTGTTACAGTGCGCTTCCTGGTTCCTGACCAGTAACCTCCAGAACCAGCCAGCAGAATAAACCTACTCCACTACGTAATTGGAGTGGGCAATGCCACAACCACATTTGATTGCACTGGTACACACTGGTGCGCGGCAGGATTGGATGGGTGGCTAGAAAGGAATATGAAAAGCAAGGATAATTACGGTACCATAGGATTAGAGCGAATTTCATGGCAACAACCAAGAGTGTCATCACACTTACATCAACTAAAAACTACCACTCAAGAAGTCTGCTACTTCCAACCTTACAGTACCGTATATTGAACACTGAACAAGGGCAACCAAGCCTGCTACTATCAGGATGAAGAGAACCTTCAGGCGAAAGGGACCACCGCAAAGCTGTCATTGTGAACCTGTGCCTAATCGGCGCGAGACTGGCCAGCACGCGATGACAGAATGATACCAACAATAAGCCCATACAGGGCAAGAGCTTCAGCAAAAATAAGAATAAGAATCATGCCGACGAAAAGCTTGGGTTGCTGGGCGTTAGCTCTGCAAAAACAAAGCCAAGGGTCAGAATGGTGACACCGTGGCACCGGCAAAAATGGATGACCTCAACTTTCTCCTAGATCCGATCCCTAAATACGCACCTGACACCAGCGTCGCCGACAATCCCAATGGCCATGCCCGCAGCGAGACCCGCCAGACCGCAAGAGAGCCCAGAAGACAGATGAGCGTAACCATCAAAAGAGTAATAGGCCTTGGCCTTGGGGTTGATACCCGTGCTGATAATAACGGCAATGATAAGGCCGTAAATACCAAGCACACCAGCCATAACAACGGGAACAATGGACTTCATGACGAGTTCAGGCCTCATAACACCCATGGATGCAACACCGACGCCACTCTTCGCTGTGCCGTAAGCTGCTCCCATGCCTGTAAAATGCGGAAACAACGGGTTAACAAAACTAAATAGCGTCAGCACAGGTTACACGCTTGGATCTAAAGCTGCGGAAACATATTAGCACAGTAATGGGAAGGATCTGGGTGAAAAAGCCCGGATCAGGCACAAGCAAAGATTTCGCCGCTATGTGCCTACATGAGAAAACGAGAGCTGCAGAAGCCCCCATAAAGCCGAAGAAGGGAGCAGTCTCATCGCCATTGAAAACACCCGACATGATGGCAGCTTGATCGAGATGAAGACTAGTAGGAGGAAGTCCGTAGACCTTTAGAGAGTGAAGTCCTTATCTCCGAAAAGCTACCAGCTGAAATTTGCAAGCAAGGAAATGCACTGCTCAGCTGAAGGTTGGAACCCTTTCGTTCAACCAGGCAATCTCTTGGAGGCGTTTATGGCCAGGCACGGTCATCAAACAATCCCTTGTGAGCGATGAGAAAACCTACACTGCACTATAATTCAGAATAGTTATAATCACGTACATGCCTTTGTTACTCGTACACACAAATGCATCATTCACTTTGCACCGGTTGAGATACATCTTCAATGTGGCATAGCTGCCTTACCTGGTGTAAATACCTTCAGGCATCAGATATAGGCGCAGGCCTATATTATGTGCATGCACTCATAATAGGGGAAGCCATGCGCTTGTACCGTGTCCTATCATTTACTCCACATGTAAGGCCTAAATAATTTCTTCAAGTAAAAACTAGTCGAACCAACGGTTTGACAGTTTTTCCCCGGCTTTGTTTTGGCCGAACATTTTCATTAAATCTACGTCTGAACCTCTTCGCCCCGCGTTGCGAACCCCTCGACGAATTCAGGTGTAGTTCCTTCATGAGATCGCCTGGTCATGACTGTAACCGTTCTACCCATACAGCGAGCCCTTTGCCCCGCGCTGCGATAAACCTCGCGTAGACGTATACAACCTACATATCTACAGCCGACGCATCGACCTTTCTTTCTTCATTGCGGCCAGCTGCTTGCAGCAGATTCTAGACTGTCGCGATAGCTCAGTTATTGTAGGAGCCCCACGGGGGACGTAGCCAGGATCTACTCAGAATTGATCGCAGGGAAATCCGCTGCGGAAGTGAATAATGACGCCTGTCAGAGTAAATGTAAGATGACTGAAGTGACTATAACAAAGACATACATGGGCTTATATAGAAATACGAAGGAAAAAAAAAATCATAACTAGCCATGTACTGTAAGGTATGCATTCCCTCGTTGCAGCGATATGCAACCGTGCGGCTCAGGAACCTGTTCAAAAACCTATTCCCGCCTTTTCTCTTTGAAGCATCGGTCTTCATCTCACAACTGATTTCGTCGCTTCGGTTCGCGTGGCGCTTGATCTTCCTTCTCGGTAACCTTTGCCTCTGTGATTCAGCAATGAACTTACTCAATTCCATTATCGTAACACCCCCCCCTCATTCCTGGACGTAGCAGGTTCTGACTCGCTTAACCACCCCGCTGAGGTTGGCGCAGTGTTGGTACTGCTGACGTGGGTCTATATTGGACCATGCAACCCCATGCGCGCAACACTGATGTGTCTCCTTTCCTCCAGGTCCATTTTACTTGTGGACAGGTTTCCCCTAATCGACGTGGTGGAGAGGAGATTGTGCAGCCGTACTGCGTGGTGCATTGCGTACATCCAGTATGTGGCAGGTAGTCCGGACTGCTTCAGTAGCGCGCGCACCTTCGTCATGCGTGTACGGCTGGTGCGCTCAGCCTAGGTATTTGCGAGGTTTGTTGGGGGCGGCGTAGTGGAGCAGAATGTCGCGTGTCTCTAGGTCGGTACTGCGGGGAGTCACTCTACAACGGTAGTGAGCTAGACTACGGGGGTTGGCACGAATTACTAGAAGTGATCGTAGCTTTGCGTAGTTCCTTAGTGCTTGCACAATCACGGGAGAAATCAACAAGAGTTTCCACTAGCAAAGTCGAAATTACAGAATAGTTGAACAAGCGATGACAGAATTGACTACATCAGGCACCTAGCAACCCTGCAGCTAGCGTGGTCGACCGCCAGCACAGCTTGGTCGACCGCCTGCCAGCGTTGCGTAGAGGAGCCGCGCCAGCACTGCAGAAGGGCGACCTGCCAACACTGCAGGTCGATGGCGTGCCAACGCTGCAGCAAAGCGGCTGTACAGCGTTGCCCCGTAGAAGACAGCAATGCGCACGCTTGCAGGTGCGCGCAGACGATTGGCCCGACTTGCCTCGTTGTGCATCCGTTGGCTGTTGTCTGCGCCTGACGAGCCACATCGACTTCGGGATACCAGCCCGAAGTCGCCTTCGCCATCGCGACCTCGACGACGTTCGCGTGCCTCCGCATAACTCGTCGAACAGGTTACCCGGTCGACCTGGTCGACCACCAAGTGCTCCGGTCGACCACCAGTGCTTCTGGTCGACCACTGGGTCCCTTTGGTCGACCACTGGGTCCCTTTGGTCGACCACCAGGTCCCTCTGGTCGACCACAGCTCCCGTCGAGCTACCCTCTGGTCGACGGACCCCTTCCGTCGACCGGAACTGTCAGCTGTTGTCGCCGAGCTCCCCTCGTCGACCGCTGCTCACTTGTCAGGTCGACGGACTGCTCCGTCGACCTCCCAGTCGAACTGCCCCTCTTGGTCGACGGCCCACCCGTCGCCCAGACCAGTCAGTTGCAGCTGTCGAGCTCCCTGGTCGACAGCAACACCACAGTGGTCCCCTGCAGCTCGACCAAGCCTGTCGAGCAGCTCTCCCACTGTGAACGGTCGGCTGCTACTCCCGTACATCCGACCAAGTCGTCGGCGTTGCCCAAGCGAGGGCGGGGCCAACACTCCATTCCCGTTAACATGTACGCAGTTCGACTCCACAGTCAATGAGTTGCGACGCGGAGAGAAGGTTAAAGCGCAGGTCCTGCACGATGAGCACGTCGTTGAACATGATGTGCGTGTTACTACCGCATGCCTTGAGCACGACGATTCCTTGCGCGCTTGCTCTCAGCCTTTCGTTGCTCGCCACAGTGATGTAGGTGACCGTGGGAGTGGGTACGGCGTTTGAGATGTAGTGCCTTCATCCCACCATGTGTTGCCCGCAGCAGCTGTCCAAGTACCAGGTATTGTAGTTGTCGTTGCTGTTGCACGAGAGCAGGGCGAGTCGCGGTGTGATGATGTGTAGCGTGGGATTGGGAGGTTCCAGTATTGTTTGTCGTCGTCGTTGTACTGATGATTAAGGGTGAATGTGATATTGTCATCGAAAGTGAAGATTGGTTCGCCGGTGTCTTCCGGATCTGGTGTCGGAGTCATTGGGCGGCGACGCCCTCTGTTCCTGGTGTGCCACATCGCCATATTGCTTATGCCGTTTCTGGTACCTCTTTTTTGTATTGCTGATGGCTGCTGTTGCGCAGGGGTACGTGGCGCCTGCTGGACTTGGCGTGCGCTGGAGTACGTGGCCGGCCCAATTGTTGGGGTGAGTGGAGCTTCGATGGCATGCGCTGGAGCAGAATCTGCATCGCTCAGCTGAGTGCACGAAATTCTTGCATATCTTGCAATAGTC